AATTCAGCTAAAAATGCGCCTTAGTATCTCCACGTTAAATGAGCTTTTGTATAATAAATCAAAATTCTTGGCTCTCGCAAAACCAATTTTCCATAATCTCTTCCAGAATAACTTAACAAGAAAGAAATTCATAATTGATCGCTGATGCATTGATGCATTGTTATTGATGCGTCTCGAGGTAAGACAGGGTTCTCTTATTCCTTCATACTTACTTCCTTTACAGCTAATTTTGACAGTCAAGAGACTGACACTGAGCAAAAGCTTAAGTTTTAGCGATGTGTTTACCCTTTTTGCAATAGCTTTTACTCATTGGTAACCAAAAAAATTTAGAGATGCAAAAGGAAAGTCTTAGAAAAACGGGAAAAACGCTTACCTCCTTTAGTTTTTGCATCGAAGCAATGCATTGACGATGGACGTGGCATCACACCTCTACGACTAGACATTGCTGCAGTTTGGAAGGTGCGATTCTCTTTTGCAGAGGTACATTGTAGAACAATAAAGCTAAATATATATACGCATTTATGGTTTGAAAAGTATTTCGATAGACCAATGAATTTGCAAGCAACACACCCATCAGCTACACACATGTTAAGTGTAGCTGTGCCTCTTCGATGTTTTACTGTTAATTTACAATTGGTCCATCTGCTCTCAGCCGCCATTGGGCCATGTCCGTAGGCTGCAGCTGGTGGTGTGGGCGGTCGCCAATCCTCTGGCTAAATGGGAATCAGAATTTCAGCCTGGCACAACGAAAGAACAAGGACTTTAAAACTTGCAGACAGCAATCGACCTCACCTCATCCGGATCTTTGGTGGGTGTTTCCATTTCAGCAAGGAAATCAAACACAGGGACAGAACGAAGGTCTATCGAGATTTGATCAAACAAACACGGCTCTGGCGTTGTTTTCCATGCCTAAACATAACCGTTGTATCTGCAAGAGCAACCAGAATCCAGGCCTACCTGAACGAAAACAGCTAGACCACGCGCAGTCATTGTGCGACATCCTATTAATTTCACTCGCAAACGACGACGCTCTTGCGCAGGTAGTGCTAGCCAGTTTAAAAGCAGACGATGCGACACGCAAATAGCTGGTGAGTATTGCTTAAAAATCAAGTAATTAAACTCTGAATTTTTTGAAAAAACCGACGAATATCCAAACTTGCCGGCTGTTTCACGTTTAGTTCATCTATACCGCTCAAAACAAAAATTTTGTGTAGGGGAATGAGATGACTTGCTTGGATGCCATCAAACGTAACACGCCGAAGCGATGGTTGCAGTCTTGAAATTTGAGCAATTTTTGTTGAAACCGTGAAAAAAAA